GACATCAATATTTTGTAATTTGCAGTTTCCTACCACAACATTTTGTAAAAGGGATGAGTAGATAAAGGGAGCATGGTGGCAGATGAATTTCTGTACAACCAGACAGTTTGAACGTACCTTCTGGCTAGATCTGCCTGAATTTTATCATCATGTTGCAAGTGATTTGGGGTTTAAATCATTATATAGGATCAGTTCTGAAATGTGAAACTGTCTGGTGCAGGGCAGTCCAGTATATGAATGGGTTGTCCAGAGAGGCCATGGAGTCTTTGTGGAAGTTTTTGAGACCTGAGTAACCTGGTCTGAGATCAATGTTGATGGTGATTTGCGCAGGAGGTTGGACTAGAGACCTCTCAATGTCCCTTTCAACCTGAATTGTTGAAAGAGAGCTGTAAGTCTGTGTATTATTTTCTTGCAGTTATCACATTTATTTAAAACTTGAAGCTGCCAATGATAACAAAACATCAGATGTTCTTGAACATTTGGCAGCTTCGACTCAGTGATTTTTGTGATTCTGAATTTCTGGAAACTTACACTGCCTAACAAAACAGGCAGTACTCCTCAAATTAGAGACATTGGGTAACTCCACTGCTGAAGCAGTAGTTATCATAAAAACAGTGGGTAGCCTTTTGTCCACTGCAAGGTAAAGGTGCTCTCTTTTGTGATTCTAGATAGTAAATTATTGACATAAATTGACTGGTTCAGAGTCTGAACAGAAAGTAAAAATCCAAAACATCCCTCAACACTTTTCATTTTTAACCACATTTCTAGCTTGGGAAAATTTGTCCTATTAATTTTTGAGGGTGGTGTTGGCAATACTACCATCCTTTCCTGACCTGCTTTCAGAAATAAGAGGAAATTTGACATATGCTTCTGACCTTGACAGACGCTGGCGTGTGCCCATTCCTGGGGTAGAGGTGCAGAATGCCAGTCTGCCATGTCAGATCATCTCCCATGGCATTTCCTGCAGATTTTAGTTGTTCTGAAACAGTCTTCAAATATCTTTTGTCAGGTGGCATAATACAAAATTACTGCAGTGTAGATGCACCAGCTTGCAAACCTAAATCACAAACCTATTTACCTATGACTGGACTTCAAATTATGTTTTCAAATTATTCAAATTGATGTTTTCTTTTTGTGCAAAGAAAATATCCTAGTCCCATCTATCAAGGGAAGAGGAGAATATGATCAGAATATAATTTGTTTGTGGCTAGAGAATTATGTCTTTCATGGATACTCTGGTTTTCGAAAAAGAAATAAATGGTGGCATTTCGTTTCCCTTTATGAATATTGATCAAAACATCAACTGTTACTGTTTTGTATTACATTATTCAGAGCATACATTTCTTAGCTTCTTAGAATTAGTCGGGTTTGTTTTTTTTTTTTCTTTTGTGGCCTTACGGAGAACACCCTTCTTCCAAACAAGTGTAAGTACAATAATGCAAAATCAGCTTGAGAGAAGAGGCAGTGATGCATACAAATACACTGCACATAGAACGCCTATCCCAAATTCTGATTACAGCCTCACAGTCATGAATAAACAAACTCTTGCAATTACTCTCAGCTAATGTTACCCTGACAACAGTATGTATAACAAAATTCAGTAATCACTGCCAACAAAACCCCCAGTACAGCTAATGCTTCTGTTTGCCGGGATGAAATACTTTCATTAAGTATTAAATCAACTCCAAATCATAAGTCCTGCTTTTATATGAGGATGAAAACTAATCAGTAAAGTGTAATTATTCATTCCAGGATACGGAGAGAAATAAGTTTGCTTTGAATTCTTTATTGATAAAATAGTGATATATAAAAAGGAGAAGCTGGAGCCTTTTACCAGTTATATAGTGGTGGGTATATCACCTGGCATTGTTCTGGCGAGCACAGCGAACACAGCTCTCCGGTACTTCTTGGTGCAAGTTTCTGCTCACTCGGTTTTGCCAGTTCTGTGCATGCTACTCATCTGGATATTAAAGGGTGGAGGAGCAGCAGCCTTCTGAGGAGGGGGGGAGAAAGCAAATCGAAAATATTTTTTGATTTAACTTACTAAAAGGCAAAAATTGTGCAATCCAGTACTTAAAAGCAGCAGGTTACATCCTGGTGTAAACAGGGTTCTACTCTGAAATGCCAAGTATCATTTTAAATGTATTATTGGTGTTTTACGTCCTCTGAGGTCTTTTCTCCTGTGTAACCTCTCACAATGAGATTCTGGGGATATTAGGCTTTATTTTCAAATTTTATTTACTTTTAAGCAAACTTAGATGCCTTGAGGAAGACTTGAATTTTTTCCATTTCAGGGGAAGTGCTATCCAATTTAAAATTTTTCTTTACCTTGAAATATTCATGTGTGGTGCTAGCTTTCCAAGAGAGAGACCACTGAAGTTGCAGGGGTTCTGAACACCAACAGCTGCTAAATACTAAAAGCCAACATTAGTTAAGTGCACAAATAGCTTGTAAAAAAAGTAGCTTCCTTTTAGGAGGGAATACTTTTTTTTTTTTAAATTTACATGTATTAAACTAATTCATTTTAGTATGTAGCACTTCAGTTGACCGATTGAGATGGAAAAAGCAGGACCAACCTAGGACTCTTGCAGTTTTTGAATTGAAAGGGTAGTAAAGAGAATGAGGTCTGCTAATCCTGCTTTCTTTAAGGAGATAATTCCTAGAGAGATAGGATGAGTGCTTTTCTCTGCAGACACGATTTCTTCTGTTTACTCAAATTTAAGTACATGTTCTGCTTGATATGTAGTATTTATTATCTTTAAAAATACAAAACTCATTGAATTCACTTGCTTAATACAATGTAATGTATTTCTAAACTGAATCGAAATTTTAGAGACCTGAAGTTTGATACACTTCAAAGCAAGCAAAAATGTAAACAAAATATTTTGTCACCAGTTGACAAAACAAGAAAAATGTAAGAAATAAGGGGGTTTTTTTAAAGTGTACAAGACAGGTTAAACTTGCATAGGTTTGTGTCTTTCTGCTTTGAGAGTTCCTTGTGATCGATTTACAGCACCAGGGTTTTTATAAATACTTAAATTATTTTGGTATTCTGTTTACTGAGTAGCATTATTGTTAAAATTGATTTTATTTTTTTAAAGGTCTTATTCTTGGGTATCTCTTGGAAGTAAAATTGCTGGATTTCATTTACCCTGACCTTGAATTTTAGTAATAGAAGCTGGCTTTCTGTGAAATTAGTCTAATGACCTGTGTTCTGCAATCTGTAGTAGTGATCTATAACTTAATAATGGAACTTTCACATTTATTTCTTATCTGTACTTGCGTTTCCTCAGTCTGTCCTGATTTGATGCGAAGGGAAGGAGGCAGAAGAACCTTGCAAAGTAATTGTTACATATTATAGCCTTTGGCACTGGTATTTACTTATATGGATGTCTGCTTGGACTGGTATAGGTCTCTTGAATAGTTTGAGTTGGTGTTGCTAGGTAAGTTTTTTAGAAACAATTTGGGGTTTGGGGATGATAGTCTCAATGGCCTTGTGGTGGGGGGGGGACACACCATGGTAGGCATTTCTACGCAGCTGAAATGGGGAATCTACCAGAAAATCTAGTAGTCTCATTCTTAAATTTTGTGCTTTGAATAGACAAGAAACATCTAGTGAAAGGGGTATTATTTGCGGAGGAAGCCTTTTCAATGACGCCTCTCCAAAGTCCAGAGAAGCAGCATGGCTGTTCTTCAGTACAGCTATTTCTTCATTTTATTACCTGTTATATGATTTTTTGTTGAGAGGTTTTCAGGCTTGCTTGCTTAGACTTCGTACTGAAGTTTGTGATCTCCAGCTCAGACTTCTGGACCTTCTGTGTGTTTGTAAGGTTTGATTTGTTTGTGTTAGCATCTGAAATACATTGTCAAGGAAGTGACCCCCTCTTATAGGAATTCTGTTTGGCTTATAACTCATTAGCTTAATCATAATGTAAGGTGAGGTGAAACGGGAGTCTGGGCTGAATTAAAAGTAGCAGTTCTGGGATGTTTTATTCAGTTGCAAATAGAAAAAATACAACTGTTTGAAGACTTTGGTCTTTTTATTCTAGTAATGTTTGTGATGAAGTGGAGAACAGCAATTTATTTTTGCGCTTAGAAGCGTAAGCATCTTTGTAGACACCATACTTGCTCTTGTGCAGTTAAGCTTGCGCCACTGTTTTTCCTTATTGGTTTGGTTTTCATAATCAGAGCAGTGGATTGCAACAAATTTTGTATCTAAACAGTAATCCTCGTCCTGTGAGATGATAGAAATAAAACATTCTGAATGGGAGCTAGAGAGGAGAAAATCGATGGGATGTGCAGGTACAGTGGAATTTATCAACCAGATATTTTGAGAAATATCTTTTGTCCAGCGGGACCACCAGAACAAAGTGTAGGTTAGTTACTAGATGAACACTTCTAGGCTGCAGCCTTTCAATACTTTGTCTAATTGAGATCTGATGAATGTTGCTCAACAGAAAAGATAGTTCAAAGTAAAAATCTTAAATTAGCCACAGATCTTGTAGAAAATGGTTTCATTGCTATTGAGTAGAGGCAGCCCTCTCTTGAGAGTGGGTTGTTAAAGCCTTAGCTGGTGCTAGCTGAAATAATGAAAAGTAAAGCTGAACTTGGTTTAAGAAGACAGTTATCCTAGTGGCTGAACTATAGGACAGATTTTCCCTAGGGTTTACCAATAATGAATCAGCTCTATCCCTTTCACATGGTCTTTCACTGTTTCACAAAACTCTAAAGAAAGAGGGGGAAAAATCTTTCTGAAAGAGTACTTTGCTCTTTACTCATTGACAGTAAGACAGAACCCATCATGAGACTGAACTTTTAAAAAATTCTAAGTGTTAAATAATGTAACTAATATTTATTTTCCTGGTATAGTTCTAATACTATTTGAAAAACTACTATTGCACTGAGTATGCAATGAGTACTTTTGTCCTCTGGTTTATGGATTATTTTGGCTTACAATATTTCTTTTGATAATTGAATTTTTTTTTTTTTCCCTTAAACAGCAAGACCATTTACAAAATTGGTAAAGGAAATGCAACTCCATCGAGATGACTTTGAAATTATAAAAGTGATTGGAAGAGGTGCATTTGGTGAGGTAAGATTTTTACTCTCAGTTGTAACTTTTGTCATGCGTGTATCTGCTTTCTCGATACAGTTGACCTGTAATTGTCCTAGAGACAGAAGATTCACACAGATATGTTAAAATACTTCCAAATGTGTGATGTAGCTAGATCCTAGTGATATGTCCCTTTGAAGCAAGGTGTTTAGAGTACAGTTCTGCCATTTCTGTGACTCGCTCGTTCTGACTTCAGTGTAGCAAAAACAAGTGTCTCTTCAATGTGTGTATGAACACGGTGGTCCCACCTAGCAGCTGCACAGCTGAATTTGATATTTCTTCTCCCACTTGCCATACGTACTCTTCTGTGCTGCTATAATTTAACACAGAATTGGGCTGCTTCTATGGTAGGAACGCGGAGGCTGCTCCACCCATCTGCCTGTCTCTGTAGCAATCTGGTAATGCAGAAAGACAACATTTGGCTGCCTCAAAGGCTGTTCCCTGTCATCTTTGAAGATCAAAGACTGCTGGATCTGTTTTTTGGACAGCAAGTTGAATCATGCTGGGATGATAGGAACGCCTTGTGTTTTGAGGACTCGCCAGTCCCAGGACCCTGAGCTGAAGCTTTACTTCTTAATATGCTTGATGAAAGTTTCATCAGTCACAGAAGTCTGACAGGGCTTGCCACTAGCATGTCCCCTCCAATAGGCATAGGATACCAGAGACTTCTGGAGAGCCTCAAAGACAACCCTTTCAGCATTTAAGTATGTGTAACTAAATCCATAGCTGTCAGCAAAAGAGGTTATTAACTAGATAATTTCTAGTTATAAAAAACCCCTTAGATTTCTTTCAGGAAGCTTCTTTTAAGTAGTGCCACCTGAAGTCGAATGTAGTGACAGCCATTAGCGGTTCACTTCAGCCCATTAGCACTTGGTTACAGCTTCTGCCAGTGGCTGAGGCTAGGCTGCCTCATCTTCATCTCCACAGAGAGCAGGACTGTGTGCCAGGCAGCTATTTCCTTCTGAGCACGGTGTGCCCTCAACACATCAAACTCTTTCACGCAGGGTTTGATTGTAGGACAGAAGTCTCATGGGCAGACCAGAAACTAAGCTAGAAAAATGCCGGGACCCTACTTGACCTAGGTTCAGAGAGCAATGAGGTTTCTGTGTGCATATGAACTTGGTAGTGGGTGAAGTAACAGAAATGAGTGTTTCAAGAACATCTCTTTGTCTAATGATGTGACGTGTAACATATAGCTCGCGTGTAATCATCGTGAGCATAGCTGCTGAAGGTACTTGAGTATTTTAAGTAAAATGTTCAGATAAATAGTAACATCTTGAACTGAAAGACAAAAGTTCACTTTCTAGTGGATGTTGATGAGTTACAACATATCTGACAAAAATTGAAGTGTTATCTTAGGTTAGTGAGAATACTGCATGAGAATCAGTTGGTTATTTCACTTGAGTATGTGTTTTTAGCTGGCTTGTGTTATTTGAACATGACTTCTGTAGAGAAAAGTTACTGCAAAGAGTTTGTCAAGAAAAAGCAGAAATGGGAAAAATTCTGCTAAGTCTAAGGAAGGGCTGAAACCTACAAATTAAGTCCAGAAAAGAGGACTGAGAAGAGGGGATTATGAGTAGATAGAAGGCCTAGAGAATAAGGACAGTAGGAGGTAACCGTATACCTCTCTGTTAGGGTTTTGATTGCAAGCAGCAGCCCAGTTTTGAAGAGAGTGCCCCCACTTACTGCAGAATTATTTTGCTGTGCATGAGCTGGATTTGTTTTGGAGGGAACTAAATGACAACCTCCATTCCAGGTGTGCACCAAATGTGCTTCTGGCCCTGAAGAGTACAGGAGAATCAGTCACTGGGTTTGGCTGTTCTAACAGCTTCAAAGCATGTTTGGTCCAGGAGACCAGGCTAGATACTGTCTGAAGCTAAATTCCTGAACTGCACACAGTATGGATGGGAAGGCTCAGCACAGGCTACTTTCATCTGTTGCTCTGGTCTTGCTGTGCCAAATTACTTGCTATAGTAGCTGTGACCACTGATATCTAAAGAATTTTAGATTAATGTTTTGGCAGTTTGTCTTTCGGTGGGATTAAAGTGGTTTCTGGATCTTTTCAGTACTAGACTTCTGAATGCCATAGCTATCAAAAATTATTTCAGGTCAAGGAAATGCTTTATAATAGCTACTTGCAGATGGAGTCAGTGTTGGGAATGCCTTCACACAGTGTAACTGTAAGGAAGAGCTGTTTTTCATAGTACTTGCTGTATTTTTTTTCAAAAGATGCTCTTCTCCACTTAAGGAATTGACCAACTAGAAATCTCAGTACAACAGGAGATGAAGTATTTATATCAACTTCAAGAGACTACAGGTTATACTTGCTAAGGGGTTTAGGATGACATTTCTTAGCTTTGGATCAAGAGTCTTAAGGTGTATAAGAGAGAGAAATTCTGGGTGGAAACTGGTATTAGTAGTGTCTGGAGTGCCTGAATCAACAATGCCTTTCATATTCTTTCACTTGGAAAAGCATGAAACTTAACTAAAGCAGTTCATACATCCCATCCTCCTCAGTGGAAATGAGATTTCACAGAAGTCAAATGAGAAAGTATCTTAATTTCATCCTTCTGTTAGAGCTGTGAATGCTCACAAAGTCAGTGGTGTTATCTGTCAGTATCACCCTGTATTGTTTATCTTTTAATTATTAAAGTTTTAGTTTATAGTTATAGCAGCTTGAAACTTTTTGATCAGTTTGATTTATGTGGAAATCATTGATTTTAAGTTCATTATACTTTAATCTCCCTTGCCAGTGAATTTTTCATGCTTTTTGCTTATGAACGAATCCTTTGACCCTTGTGTACCCTACCCTGCTATAACTGCCAGATATTGTAGGCATTATAAAATAGTAACTGTATAACGGTTGAAATTCCATAATAAGAAAATAAAGTCTAGTTTCTTGAGAGGGACTTATGACATCTGACTTGTTTAAAGCGACACGTCAGAAAACTGAATGGGGGAGCTGTAAGTAATTTTTCCATGGTACATTTATACATATGTAGGAACTATGTTAGAAATTGGTTGATGGGATTCTAGTGGTTTTAAGGTTATTCATTAGTTCTTGTTTAAAAAAAAAAAACCCAACCCAAACACAACTATCTGCTAGAAATAAATTTTAAAAATACCTGTAAAATATTTGTTAGAATGTATAAAGAAATTAATCAGAATTAAACGAAACATATTTGTATTAGAATTAGGTAGTTTAAATTAAATGCTGACAGTTAAACAAGCCAGACTTCAAAAAGGAATAAAACTTTCCATTTGTCTCAGTTTAGCTACTTTGGACTTTTTGGAGAGTGCCAGAGTCTTTAGTATTACCAAATAACTTTTGCAGAACTTTTAGCTTTGAAGAAAGGTAGCATCAACAAAATAAAGGTATAATATTAGCTATTAGTTAGGGTCAGTGGTCATTTTTTCCACACAACATGTAAGCCAAGGAAGCATGGTCTTTGAACAGAGAGAGGATTGAGACCAGATGTGAGCTTGTCCCTGTGAACACAACTGCAAAATCAGTATCTAATTTAAGGCAGATTGATATAATCACCAGCACATAGCTGTACTGGCACGTCAGTGCCTTTTTCTTTCTTTCTCCTTTTCAAACCAGCAGAACTCAACCTGTTTTTTTACACTTTTTCCAGCAATGTGAGAACAAAACCCAACTGGTAAACCAAAACCACCTGAGTGAAATTTCTTGTAGTGTGGGAGATTTGAGAAAGCAAGAGAAAAAATATTTCTTAAAGTTTTCATTATTATGATAGGACAGAAATTGCCTAGCACAGAACTTAGAGGTTTCTTTTCTAGCCACCTGCCAAAACACGCAGTTCTCCTTTTCTCATAAACTAAGCCAGCTACTTTGCATTTAGGGTAAACTGAATGTCTGAATATCCTTTACAGCAGCATTTAAGGCTCTGACTCCTGGAGTGACTTGCTTGAGAACATAATTTTAATTTTTTCAGAAGTTTCATAGTTCTGAAGAAAGTTTGAAACGTTCTTCAAGTGCATGACAGCTAGAATAACATGTAATTTGACATGCTAGCTGTAAGAAGGATAAACTACTTGTGGCTCTTCCCTGTCTCCTAGGGTATATTCACCTGGTGTATACCCAGCTGGGTGGAACATTTTCGTATGTGCCCCAATTTCACCTTCAGTCTTTTTTGTGGGTCATATATGCAGATAGCTCACGTGCAGAGGGGCAACCTTCATGAGGAATAAAGCTAATAATAATTAAAAAGCCCCCTGAAATAAATAAAAACTAAAATGGTTTTCTGTAATCTTAATTCTGGTTTCTATTAATAAAATTATTGTAGAAGTCTGTCTTTGTAAACAATAATGAATAGTTGGGGTCTGCTACAGGCCACCTGACCAGGAAGACCAAGCAGATGAGGCCCTCTATAGACAGGCAGGAGCAGCCTCATGCTGACAAGCCCTGGTCCTCATGGGAGACTTCAACCACCCTGATATCTGTTGGAGGGACAACACATCAGGGCATAAGCAAGCTGGAAGGTTCCTGGAATGCATTGATGAGAATGTCTTTCTCCAAGTGACAGAGGAGCCAACAAGGAGAGGTGCTATGCTGGACATTGTTCTTCACCAAAAAGGAGGGGCTGGTGGGGAATGTGAAGCTCAAGGGCAGCCTGGGCTGCAGTGACCGTGAAATGGTGGAGTTCAAGATCCTTAAGGGTAGCAAGGAGGGCACACAGCAAACTCACTACCCTGGACTTCAGGAGAGCAGAGCAGACTTTTGGCCTCTTCAGGGGTCTACTAGGTAGAGTACCATGGGATAAAGCCCTGGATGGAAGAGGGGCCCGAGAAAGCTGGTTAATATTCAAGAATCACCTTCTTCAAGCTCAGGAGTGATGTATCCCAGCAAAGAGGAAGTCAGGCAAAAAAGCCAGGAGGCCTCCACGTGGATGAGCAAGGAACTGCTGGACAAACTCAACCACAAAAGGAAGCCTACGGGGGGGTGGAAACAAGGACAG